GGTGTTGAAGGGCAGGTTGGATGGGGCTTGGAGCAGCCTGGGCTGGTGGGAGGTGTCCCTGCCCATGCAGGGGGATGTTGGATGATCTTTGAGGTCCCTTCCAACCCAAAGCAGTCTGGGATTTCATCCCCTTCCCAGCTGCAATATGGATGTATAAAGCCTGGTGGGTTTCTATCTCTTTGGAGACCTCCCTGGCTCCTCTCCCAGCCCGGCTGGTTGCTGAGGTCCCTGCCCATGGCAGCTCCATCCTCCTGCTCCTGCTCTGCAGCCCCGGAGCCAGCAGAGGCTGCTGCTGTGCAGGGAAAGGTCTCCTCGGCTCCCACCCTCCCATCTCCCTGCTGTCCTGGCTCGGGAAGAGCATCTGCTGCCCTGGCTGGGGTGGTAGAGGGGACCGGTGGAGCCTCGGGGGGCTTTGTCTCCTCTCCCCGAGGATGAGGCAGGACTGAGCACGGCTGGTTCCTGCTAACCTCCCCAAACTGGAGCTCCAGGACAAACTGTGCTGGTTGTCTTGAAATTTTGGGGGTCTTGGGGAGCCAGAAACCCTAGCAGAGTGTCCTGAGGGATGTGGTGGGACCAGGGGACAACCCAGGGTGGCACAGACCTTCCTGCCTGTCCCTGGAGCTGCTGTGGTGCTCAGGGTTGGAATGAGATGGACCTTTAAGGTCCCTTCCAACCTAAACTATTTGATGATGATGATGATGAAATGGTGAGCAGGGTTTTGATGATCCCAGTTTGCCACCATTTGCTTCCTTCTCTGCCTGACCATCTCCAGGTTGCCCAGCATCTCTGCTGCTCCTCTTCCTGGTGCTGCTTGGGCCACCTGTGGAGGTGGAACTTGAACTCACGAATGAAGAGAAGAAGGGGAGATGTTCCTGGGGCTGCCCTGTGCTCTGGTCCTGCCAGGACCTCGTGGTGGCCCCAGGGAAGGACCCAGACCCCCCAAACTGGGGAGCTTCATTTTCTCTAATGGTCCTTTAATGGTTTTGTAGGAGGCAACCACTAAATCCTGTTTGCTAATCCCATTAGTGCACTGGGATGGTAATTAGGCCATTAAAGAGGCAGCTTCTTCTTCCTCCCTCTGTTTTCCAAGCAGTTTGTTGCTGTCGATGAGCCTGGATGTGGTGGTTGATGCTTTGGCACAGAGAAAAAGTGACTTTTTGGGGCTTTTTTTTCAGCTGGTTCCTCTTTGATGGCCACGTCCAAGGCCCATGGGTTGTAGGGTGGGTTGGTTTTGTCACCTCTGCAGTGTCCCAGCCCTCTGGGCTCTCTGCAGGGGAGGCTTTTTTCTCCTGACCTCCAACACGAAATGGAGCTCATCCCCTCTAAAATGACCCTAAGGTTCCTCTGACCAACCTCTTCTGGTTCCAGCTGAGCTGGTGGGCTCTTGGTTTGCTCCAGATCGTGGCTTCCTGCTCCCTCTCTTGTGTCCCAGCATGGAAAGAGGTGCTAGACCTGGAGAGCTGAGAGTTTGGGAATCATGAGTGTTGGGTGGGATCTCCTAGGGCCATTCTGGGTCTAGATTGACCCCTCTTTGCAGATGACTCTCTGGTGGGACCCATCCCAAACCTTCCCAGGAAGGATTCTGGGTGTCCCTCAGGCTGATTGACCTTCTTGCCCATCACGTCCCATCTGAAGTTGTCTCTGGGGAGCCAGGGATGCAGGACCCTGGGCTGGGCTCTCCCAGCATCACCTGTGGATCAGTAGGGATGGGCAGAAGGTGCTGGGGTTGCCCCACAGATATTTCCATCTGGATGAGCAGGAGCTTTGGCCAGGTCCTCTCTGGAGCAAGGCCACCATGTACCACTTGACTCTTGATGACAGCTCAGAAGTTGGTTTTGACTTGTTGGGTTCCAGAGCTTATTTTGAGGGTTTCATCCATCAGGGTTTTTTTTGGACAACCAAGACTTGTTGGGTTCCAAAGCTTATTTTTAGGGTTTCATCCATCAGGGTTTTTTTTTTGGACAATCAAGGCCTCCTGAAGAAGGGGTTAATTTTTATGAGCTTCCAGCTTCTGAATTTTCCAGCCTGGAGCCTCCAGCTGCTGCCTGTAACTCTGGGGTATGGAACATTACTCCTCAAAAGATCCCTTGGCTTCCATAAATCCCCAACCCATAAACATCTCCTGAATGGGCTCGGAAAAGGAAACACAACATTTAGAGTGGTTGATAATATAATGCTCATTTAATACCTCATGAATTCCATGGGCCATTTAAATCCTTCATGGATAGTTAATGATTATTCATCAGCCAGAAGTCAGGGGAGGGGGGGGAGGTTGGAGGAGAAAACCAACAAACACTTGGTGGAACATCTTAAAAATGCATTAGTTGGGAGGAGAAAAGTGAGGGTAGTTGAGAGGGAGCTCAAGGGTGGGTTCATTCTTGGAAGGGAACATGGAAAAGAACCCTCTGGAGCAAAAGATCTGCCCTGGCATGTCCTGCCCCAAAGTGGTGGGTGATCTTCATCCTTAGAGGCATGGAGATGGGTCAAATCCTCTCCCATTCCTGGCTTCTTTTTTTGCCAAGTGAATGAATTTGGTGGCCTTCTCTGAGAAGGGAGGGGTAGATGGGGAATGAAAGAAGAGTGACCTGACAGAGCTGAGCTGGGCAAGTGCTGAACTCCCCATGGGGAGAATACACATGGTTCTTGTGGTGTAGCCAGGGCAGGTTTGGGCTGGGAAGAGGTTCTTCCAGCTCGAGGCAGCTTGATTTGGGGGAAATTTTCAGCAATTCCCCTTACCCTGTGTGGTTGCAATCCTGCTGA